GGGTTCTACATGATGCTTACATAGAATGCATGAAAGCTATGTTCAGTCCTCAGGACCTCACTAACTGGATAAAGTGGTTCATGCCTGCAATGAAGGGAGGGTGAGGTAAATTAGAAGGTCGAAATTATCCTTAGCTTCAAACAGTGACTTTCAAGCTAGCCTCAGCTACATAAGATCCTGCCTTTAAAAAAGATGCAAGAAAATAAAACAAAAATAATAAATACAACTATAATATACCACATAGACTTTATGTCAATATAAGAGCAAAGAATGGAAGTAGACCCAAACCAGATTTTGTCTTCTTTTAAGGACATTTATCAAGTAATTCATTGTTGTAAAATCTTTTAGAAAAATGTGACTGATTTGCTGTGTTTTAGCTGGTATGGTAATAAGTAAGAACTGAAATAATAAAGACACTGATATGAAGCAAACACATATTTACAATACAAAAGGGATTGTTATACATCACTTCAATACCAGGGCAGGCAGTCCACAGGTTTGTTTTATGTAAAATCTAATTCAACTTGTCAAAATTAAAAAATAAAAATAAAAAGAATCTCTGTAACAGTCTCCATCTGTCACAAAGGGAAGTTTCTTTGAGATGATGTGAAGATACTCCACATATCTGTGAGTATAAGGATAAATATTAGAATTCAGTAGGAAAACGGAAGTGAGAAGCTTTTCTCTACATTCTATGAATAGTCATGAGTAGTTGGGTAGGTTGACAGTGTTCAGCATTAATTTCCTCTCATAGAGCAGGCCTTAAATCCAATTAGACAACTGTTGGTTACCCCACAGTGTAAAAATGTCTATTACAGGGTTTCACATCTGATAAAAAACAGAGAAATAATGACTTTGGAATGTCTAACCTCCATTAGGTCATTCACAATGCAAACCATGCACCAAAGCCTCCAAGAAAACTCTGAAACAGGGAGGGGAAAAATGTACCAGCAAGAATAAGGGGACTTTGGCTATCAGACAGTATCTTTTATACATTCCACAGAATCTGCATCCATGAAATATCAAAAATAGAGTTGTCTAAAATATACCAGTATACATAGCAGTGTAGATGAAGGCAGTTACAAATGGCTAGTGAGAGAGGGAAAATCAATTCTCTTGAGATGAGACCCCTCATCGATTATCTAATTCCAGTGATCAGCCCTAAATACATGTACCTATGAACAACACTAGATGGATTCAGTGTGTGTGTGTGTGTGTGTGTGTGTGTGTGTGTGTGTAACAAAAATAATCAAAGAATAAATGTGGGATATTTGATCACATTGTGAAACTCTGAGACTGTGTTAATAAAATTAACTTCAGATCATTGGGCAGAGCCAGTGCCTAGTTGACAGGAATTAGCCATAACGAGGATGGAAGAGCCAGGAATACAGATAGAGAGATGCACAGGAAGATGTACAGAAGGATTTAGAGATTTGAGGGATTTTTTTGGTTTGAGATGAATGGAGATATGCTTTTTTTTTGCTGGATCCCTGGCCAAAAAGGAAAGAGGTCAGTTTGGTTGCTTCTCAGTTTCTCAGATCTAGCAGGTTTTCACCCCAACATCTGACTCATGGGTTTTTATTGGTATATAGAATGAAAGTGAGTTAAGACCTAACATTTGGCAGACACAGCCAAGCTGGTGACAGCAGGACCAGAAATCCCTCCAGGCTGTGATCTGAGCATAATCAGTGGTATGCTGACTGTGGGGCTGAGGGGCACAGATGGCAGTTAAAATATCAGTAGATTCAGGTACACCTGATAAGCTGACAAAAAAATAGCATCTGGCATTCCAACATGGAGAACGACATCGTGAACTGAGAAGCCATGCCATTCATGGGTACTCCTTGAAGTGACTCCGGTGAGCAGACTTGAGCTGGGAATTGTGGAAAGGACCCTCAGCTTGCCACTGACTTTGCGGCTTTGGAAAAATTCAAAAGTCAGCAGATTTGGTGAGACTCCTGGGAAATTCTTAAGGAGAGAGATAAATTTAAGAAAAATCTTTCCTGTGTCAAGAATGGAAAATATTGCCTGATGGTAGTGGTGCATGCCTTTAATCCTAGCACTTGGGAGGCATAGGCATGGAAATCTCTGTGAGTTAGAGGCCAGTGGGGCCTACAAATTAATTGCATTCCAGGACAGCTAGTACTGTTACACAGAGAAGCCCTGTCTTGGAACAACAACAACAAAAAAATGGAAAATATGCACAGTGCTATGATGGGTAGCTTGAAAATGAAATAAATAAATAAATAAATGAAGGGATAACCAATTTGGCTGAGATTGATATAATGTCAATGATAATTAATGCCAGTTTGGTAATCTGTTATCCTTGAAAAAGTGGTTGGATAATTATGCCAAATATGAAAATATGAGTGATAAGATACAAGCTTTACAAAGACTTACTATTGATAAGATAGGCCTTAGAAAGACCTATTAATGAAGTTTTAAAAAGAACTCAGACACAGACAGAGGAATTTACACAAAAACCTACTGCACCACTGCTCAACAGAACTGAAGAGGGGTGGCCCAGGGTTATCAGAAAGCCAACCTTAGTTTATTTAGTTACTTTATAAGAATGACCAGCAGATAATAGGCAACCCAAAGGTTATGCAGAAGTTAAATGGAATCCTATAAAAACATTATATTTGAGGAGATTTAAGGAAGCAGTTGTTTCATATGGTATGCATTTGTCCTACGTGAAGCAGTTGTTAAATTCATGGCAACTCTGAATAGAATTATCCCTGAGATTTTTTGGATCTTTCCAACAGCAATATTGGAAGCTGGTCCCTATTTACAGTGGAGAACATGATGGAAAGAGGAAGCTACGTTCATAGAACAATGAAATGGGGGCTAGAAGTATTGCTTTTTCTCAAGACCAGTTTCTTTGTGAAGGCCACTATGCTGAATTGCAAAGACAGTTTGAATTTGATGATCACATCTTGACCCATTGTCACTTAGCAGCTTTGAGTGCTTGAGTCAAGGTTGAAGAATCTGCAAAGAAGTCTGAGCTGTTTACTAAAGTTATACGAGGCCCAAAAGAAGACTTCACTGATTTTTTTTTCAAAAATTAACTTCAGCTGTAAATAGAATGTTATCAGATCCAGAAGCCAAAGAAATATAACTTGAATCTTCTGCTTTTAAAAATGTTCATTCAGAAATGTTCAGAATTGAAACTTCATCTTGGTGGATCTTTCCTCTGATGAATATTTAATGCCCTTCTTGATCTCTTTTGATTGATTTTAGTTTGAAGTCTATTTTGCTGGATATTAGGATGGCTACAGCTGCTTGCTTCTTAAGACCATTTGATTGGAAAGTCTCACTAGGGAGGCTACCTGGAAAACAGGACCCCAAGAAATACAGGGGGATCGCCCAATGACTGAGAAATGGATGAGATCTACATGAACAAACAGCCTGGACATGAGTGGGGGTAATGAAGGGTGAGGGTTGAGGGAAAGAGAGCTTGGGGGAGTGGGAGATCCCAGCTGGATCAAGAACAGAGAGGGTAAACAAGGAATAGGAGACCATGGTAAATGAAGACCACATGAGAATAGGAAGAAGCAAAGTGCTAGAGAGGTCCACAGAAATCCACAAAGATACCCCCACAATATACTGCTGGCAATGGTCAAGAGACAGCCAGAACTGACCTACTCTGGTGATGGGATGGCCAAACACCCTAATTGTTGTGCTAGAAACCCCATCCAATGACTGAGGAATCTGGATGCAGAGATCCATGGCTAGGCCCCAGGTGGAGCTCCGGGAGTCCAATTAGCTAGAAAGAAGAGGGTTTATATGAGCAAGAATTGTTGAGACCAAGGTTGGATAAAGCACAGGGACAAATAACCAAACAAATGGAAACACATGAACTATGAACCAATGGCTGAGGAGCACCCAACTGGACCAGGCCCTCTGAATAGGTGAGACAGTTGATTGGCTTGGTCTGTTTGGGAGGCATCCAGGCAATGGGACTGGGTCCTGTGCTCGTTGCATGAGTTGGCTCTTTGAAATCTGGGGCTTATGCAGGGTCGTTTGGCTCAGTCTGGGAGGAGGGGACTGGACATGCCTGGACTGAGTCTACCAGGTTGATCTCAGTCCTCGGGGGAGGCTTTGCCCTGGAGGAGATGGGAATGGGGGGTGGGCTGGGGGGAAGTGGAGGGGGGGAGGAGGCGGGAGAACAAGGGAATCAGTGACTGATATGTAGAACTGAATGGTATTGTATAATAAAATGAAAGGAAAAAATGTTTTATTTGACACAGGTGCAGCTGTAACAATAATTGCTCCAAATTTTGGCATCTGGATTGTCCTATTCAGATATTAAATATTCAACTTCTAGATATTGGAACTACATCTCAGATAAAACAAAGTAGAATATGGGTTGAGTGTATAGGGCCAAGAGGACAGATAAGAAAATTAAAGCCTTAAGTGGCTAACATAGTCATAAATTTATGGGAAAATGATTTGATACAGCAATGGAAAACAAAGGTTAATATTCCTCCAATCTCGGAAACAAACCATAAACTAAAGAATGCTTCTGAGAGAAATATTAAAAGGCATTATCAAGAACAGTCACAGATCATTTGGGTTGTACATAAGCAGGGCACAACAGCTGTTGGACTTTCAAAGGTATCAACAGCCTTGGCTTTAAAATGGCTAACTGACAGACTTGTGTGGGTGGAACAATGACCTTTGACATCAGAAAAATTATCAGTGCTGGAACAGTTGGTATAGGAGCAGTTAAATACTCAACATATTGAACAAGCAACCAGTCCTTATAATTCTCCTATATTTGTCATTAAAAAGAAATCTAGAAAATGGAGAATGGTAATAGATCTGAGACCTAGCAATAAGGTGATCTAGCCAATGGTCTCTTTACCACCTTGCCTTCTTTATTACCTAAAGGATGGAATATTATCTTATTATTTTGTGGTGATATATTTTTAATCTAAGAAATAAAGCTAGCCTGAAGATCCGAGGACAGAGCCAACCACAGAGTTATCCACAGAGGTCAGGCAGATGTGGTACCTTTAATCCTAGCCTTTCGGAGGCAGAGGCAGAGATCCCTCTGGATTTCTGTGAATTTAAAGCCTCACTAGGCTACATGAGCTTAATCCATTCTAAAAGAGAAACAATCAGGCAGTGGTGGCACACACCTTTAATCCCAGTACTAGGAAGGTTGAGACAGGAAGTGATATGGCAGGGCAGAGAAAGGAATATAACATGGGAGGAGACAGGAATTCAGTCTCTTGCAGAAGGTGTCAGGCTGAGGAGTTGGTGAGGTAAGAGGTGGTGGCTATGGCTTCTGCTTCTCTGCTTCTCTGCTCTTTCAGCTTTCACTCTGATGTCTGCCCACACCACCACATGTTAGACGAGGGGGACAGGACCTGCTCTCCCACTTTCACAGCCTCAGTGCCACATCCCTGACAACAGAGTCAACTCTGTCATGCTGCCCCGGTGAGGTACTGAGACCCTCTCTCTCTAGGCCTGCAGCTGGTGGTGGGCTGGGTGGTAGGACCAGTTCTCTGTAGTGCTGCAGCCAGTAGGGGCGGGTCCAACTCTATGCAGTCCTATCTTATTGACCTTCAGGGCTAACAGGAGGCACAGATATCAACACAGACCACAGCTGCAGCAGGGCCATAGGCACATACATGGCAGCAGCTCAGACCCAGATGTCACTGTGGCCCTGGGTGGCAAACAGGACACCCACCACAACCTGCTCCTCACTGCCTTCACCTCTTTGAAGATGAAGAATCTGCATTTCTCCACGGGATATGAACCATTCTGTCTCTCTCTTTCTCTCTTTCATACCCCACCTTGTATTTGATCACCATAATAGAGTCCCTGTTTTCTCCTCTATGCCCTGGGAGGAGAACCCTGGAGTTGCATGTGGATCTTTGTCTCCAACTCAGTCTTACAGGCACTGGGTATAAACATTACAATTTGTATGGACAAGTATCATGGCTGTTGGGAGCCAAGGAATACCACAAAGTCACATGACCCAACAAACCTCACACAACAGATATACTGGAAGGGAAAAAACCTGAAGGGTGGCTGCCTCTGCTCAGGCAAGAAATAGTGGGGAACTGAGCAAAAGGCAGTGTGTATATAGAGTTTTTTGTGGGGGGCGGGAATGTTTCAGGGTGAAACTTCCCAGGCTACAGATTGGTGGGAATTCTAGTCTAGAACTTGGGCTTATTATTCTGTGGAGTGAGGGCTGGATTGAGCTTTTAGGGCAGTAGACCATGTTCTGTGAGTGGAATCTGTCAGTTGGAGATCCTCAGGGAAGGGGCCTAGCCACTAGTGTGGCTCAAAAGGTTTAAATTATGGGCAGGTTCCCATTTCATCTTCCACATCCAGGGCAGAAAGCCCAGGACTGACATATAGATCTTTATTTTCCCTCATTGAGCACTCTTAGCCTAGTACATTTTGCTTTCTCCGTGTGCTCATTTAAGTCATATTTAATTTGTATCAGTATTTTGCCCTGCTGACTGTTGTTGGTTGTTTTCATTCTCTTTTGGCTCTTTCCTCTTTTAGGACCCCACCACTCAGCTCCCAAATCAATTATTCTTATATATAAATGCCAGGCCTTAACTTGGCTTGTTTCTTGTCAGCCTTTCTTAACTTTTAATTATCCCATCTACCTTATGCTTCTGAGTTTTTCCCTTTTCTTACTTCTATAGATCTTACTTTCACTCTTACTCCATGGCTGGCTGTATTGCTGGCCCCTGGTGTCCTCCTCTCCTTGTTCTCCTGCTCATTCTTCCTCTCCTCCTAGATTTGTCTTATTTATTCTCTTTGCCTGCCATCCTGCCTATTCTTTTTCCTGCCTTGTTACTGGTTGTTCAGCTCTTTGATATTAGACCATCAGGTGTTTTATATAGGCATAGTAACATAGCTTCACAGAGTTAAATAAATGCAACATAAACAAAAGCAACACACCTTAAAATAATATTCTAAAACAGGTGACTCCATCTCTAACAAGATAGTAATAACAAGTTAAATGTGTGTATATGTTTATATCAAGATGATAATTTTAATAATAAAAAATGTCTTACCATATGTTGAGATGAATCAAGGAACTATGACATCTGACCATATTTTCAATGAGCCCAATGCCTATTCATTGATGTTTGTTTGATTAAAATTGCCTACAATTACCTCTTTCGAGTAGATAACTTGCAATATTTTCAGCACCTTAGTGCAGCTCCAACGCAGCTTCCTATAAGCAGGAATGCATGGCTGAAAGTAAGGGCCATATTTCAATTGTTCTGAATCAATTACGTAGTGTGTACCATTTGTGCAGTTATCACACATATGCATGTGTGTGAAACTGTAACTGCGATGAAGAGGACAAGCACAACATCACCCTCCATTATTCTACAGTGTTTGATACTACCCGAGCAGTGTCTGCCCTGCAGTTAGCTGTTCTTCATTACCAAGGCAAAAGTCTCCTTGATTTTAACTTTATTTTCTATCTACTTAAGAATAAGGCAAAATAGTTCAGTGACCTGCTTGACCATAGTTGTTCTTCAAGTTAACATATCAGCTGAACATCTTTTATATTTTTCAAATGATGTTGAATCAATTAACAAAGAAATTATAAGGTACTCAAAAAGAGAAATGATGACAGGCAATGATGTCAGAGAACTATAATTTAGATGTTTACCATACACAGTTAATATATTTTAAAATGGACATACATTGATATTTTGTACAATCTGTAGGCTGCTCTATCTGTTGGGTAATGGCAGAGGAGAAGTGAATGAAATACTATTATAATTAGGAAATAAATATAAAGAAGATATGAACTAGAAAGATAAAAATCAAATGATGTCATTTTCATTTTAGTGTGAAATTCAAGTAAAGTTATAAGCCTGCAGCTGTTTTTGTAGGTCTGAGTTAGAAAGAGTAGAATATTTCAGCTTACAGATATTATTAAATTCAGAATAATAAAGTTGGTGAAACATCTCAGCAGTTATTGTGTTCTTACAGAAGAATCAAGTTTAGCTACTAGCACCCACTTCAGGATGCTTACAACTGCTTGTAACTCAGGTTCAGGATATCAGACAATTTATTCTGGCCTCTGCTGGAACCCACACAAACCAATACATGGACACACAGATGCATCAACACAATTAAAATAAGTGTACACATTTATCATGGAATGAAACAAGGTCTATTATGAAGGAACTATAGAACTCACAGGTAGTGAACAACAGCAACTGTGAATATTTCAAATGGTACAGATTTGTTTGCTGTGTTATTAAATAAACTATCTGTCTTTATGATTTCATGGGAAGAAAATTGTTACTCACACTTTATTTTCTAGCATTGCTTTAGATTAGTGCACAGTCTATCTAGAGACATCCTCCCAAAAGACGCTTGCTTTTAGAACTAATGCTTCATGCACAGAGGACACATTTTGCCACGGCCTGCTTAGGATGCTGTAACAAACCGCCATAGAATAGCAATGGCTTCAACTACAAACATTTATTTCTCACAGTCCTAAAGTATAGAAGTGACAAGATTAAGATGCCAGCAGATCTTGTTTTCTGATAAAGACCCTTGCTATTGTTGTTGGCAAGTAACATCTTTTTAACATTCTCAAATGGAAAAGAGGATGCAGGAGAGCTCTCTGAAGTCTGCATGCTAAGGGCACAAATCACATTTATGAAAGACTTATTCTCATTACTTAATTATTTCTCAGAGCCCTCACCTCCTCATATCTGTTGCATTGATCGTTAGGCGTTCTTTGTATGAATTTTAGAAAGAAACAGATGTTCATTCCTCAACACAAACCTATTTTCTAATTTCTAGTAATCTTTTCCAACCAAAGAACTTCTAATTATAAGTACAGTGAGCATAGTCGGTGTAGGAGTAGATCCCAGTTTAAAAAACGATAAAGTTGAGAATATCATACCTTTCTCTCTTTTTCATTGGTTTTTGTTTGTTTGTATGTGATAGGATTTCCCATAGTCCAAGCTGACTATAGACTTGCTGTATAACTGAAGTTGTCTTTGAACTCAATATTGTCCTGCATTAACCTCCCAAGTGATGGGATTATCATTGTGTACCATCAAGCCCAAGCAGTCAATATTTTCTATTGATAAACATAGAATGTGTGTAAGAATCCAAATGCAATATTTGGTTTTTGCCCTTAGGACACGAATCAATTCACTCAGTATAGTATGAAATCTTTGGATTGGTGTATTTGAGTAACTGTACATAAAATCCAGGAAACTAGAATTGGAACATTGGAGGGAACCAGGAAGAAAGTTATTAAGAGAAGAAGACAGAAGAACACATGTGACATGCAATGGAAAAGAGGAATAAGGGGAAAACTGTTTAAAGGGCAGATGGGGGTATACCAAAGAGAGAGTGGTGGAGAGGTAACTTACACTGTTTGAGAAAATCATATGGAAACCTACTATTTTATAAGGTTCCTAAACTGGAGTTACCCTTGACATGATAATGCTCCACCCCCCCAGAAGTATTAGGTTGCCCAGTTTGCTAAATAAAAGGCCCAGTACATGGTATGGAATATCTCCTCTTCAGTTCTTGATCACTGGTATTTTAATAATCACCCAAGCAATACAGGTTCTTGCCATTGCTCTTGGTTTCCCATGAGAACCTGATGGTAACACCCTATTTCCAAAGGCAACAGACTCTTTGCTCACAGAGCATGGAGAAGTTGAGTTAGTACTAACCAGGAAACTTCTCTGTTGGCTTTTTTTCATTTTAGAGATTATAGTTACAGAACTCCTTCCCTCTATCCAAACTGTCCCATGTAAGTCCCTTGCCCACTTACAAATTAATGAACTCTTTTTTCTTTAAATACTGTAACATTTATTTATATACTTATATGTATTTCTAAATTCGTAAGTGCTGATTAATCAGTCTGTATAGTATTACTTGAATGTATATTTTTTCAGGACTGACATTTGGTGTTAGGTAAACAAATGGTGTGTTCTTCCCTGAAAGACAATTTTTCTTACTTAGCATTTTTTGAGGGTTCTCTGTGTCTAAATTTTCTTCTGTAAAATCTAGATCCTTCCTTATTTTAGTGGCTAAAACAGAAAAGATGTTCATCAGAGAGTAAGCTATGTTCATCTTGCCTAAGCAAAATAGCACTGGGTTTATAAATATCTAAATACTGCTCTTGGAATT